GCATGGGGTTGTCTAAAGCAACTACCCCAGTATCGCCGTAAAAAAGTTACTGTCACGTGATGATCGACAGTGATTTAGCGAGTCTCGTTTTAGTGTAACGTAGCACGATCAGGAAGATCAAAACAAAACGTTCGTTTTTTCAAAAACCCCCCTTTTGTGCTCTAACAAAAAAAATTCCTTGAGGAATTTTACTATAAGTCCCGCTAGTGCCCAGACTTATTAGAAACACTAACCCTAACTTAAACGAACTTAAAGATTTTTTGGTGCACCGCAAATATTATCACGTGACAGCAACTTTTTACGGCGATCCTGTCAAAAGCCAGGTAGTCACGTTGTATATTACTAGCCACATAAGCCTCCGCCACGGTGGCTTGTAATTACGTGACTACCCGGCTTTAGACGATCCCCAAATACAGAAATATGAATAAATTCTAAGTCCGAGCTCCGTGAATTGAACTTGCGAATGATCAATATCGTTTATCAAAAAATTTATTGCGTATAAATTCAGTTTGTGTCAGCAATTTTCGTAGGCAGTTAATTTAATTAATTGGATAAAATTGTAACGGAGTAATTACTTTTACTAATTTTAATATTATTATAATGAATGAAAATTCTGTCAAAGGTGTTTGGTCAAATCAACGACCAATAGACCTTTTAAAGTCTTTTGAATCAACTTACTTTGATAAATGCAATAATGAAGTACTTACAGGTTTAGACAGCAAATTAGTTGTAAAAATTGAATCAAAAGATGAAATTATTGGAAATAGCGGATACGAAGAAGCACTGATATATTTAACTAAATTATTAGAAAATAATCCATATAATGAATTCATTTTAAGAAATCGAGGATTGGCCTATTACTCAGTAAATAGGCATGATGACGCACTTGAAGATTTAAACAAGTCTTTAGAAATTGAACCAAACAATGCATCTGTGCTAAAGGATCGAGGGATGGTTTACTTTAGTATCAAAAGATATGAGGAAGCACTTGTGGATTTAAGCAAATCATTGGAGATTGAACCATTTAATGTAGATGCATTAAAAACTCGAGGAAATATTTATTTTAAGTTGGAAAAGAATGACGAGGCAATTGCAGATTTAACCAAATCGTTGGAAATAGAACCAAATGATGCAGACGCATTATATTTACATGGAGCAACTTGTGGAATTATTGGTAGACATGAAGATGCTCTTGCAGATTTTAATAAGCTATTAGAACTTGATCAAAGTAATAAATCTGCATTACATATGCTAGGTTCAACTTATCATATTAAGTTGAAAAAATATGAAGAAGCGCTTACAGTTTTCAATCATTTATTAGAAATTGACCCAATAGATATGGATGCATTGGAAGAACGAGGTATGATTTACTTTGGATTGGATAGATACGAAGAAGCACTTGTAGATTTAACTAAATCGTTAGAAATAAGGCCAGGAAATGCAAATGCGTTGAAATATAGGGTATTCATTTATTATGCATTAAACAGATATGAAGAAGCGCTGGCTGATTCTAACGAATTATTAAAAATTGAATTTGACAATGAATTAGGATTTCTTTTTCAAGGTCTAATTCATGATAAGTCAACAAGATATGAAGAGGCATGTTCAAATTTTACTAAATTATTGAAAATCAATTCAAACAATGTGATTGCGTTAAGATATCGAGGAGTGGTTTATTTTAATTTGCAAAAATACGAAGAAGCACTTGCAGATTTCTCAATTTTATTAAAAATCAATCCAAACAATACGAGTGCATTAAAGTATCGAGGTGTAATTTGTTTTAATTTGCAAAAATTTGAAGAAGCGATTATAGATTTTACTAAGTTATTGGAAATTGAGCCAAATGATGCATCTACATTTAATAGACGTGGTGCAACTTATAAGGAGATGGGCAGATATAAAGAAGCGATTGCCGACTTAACAAAATCATTAGAAATTAAGCCAAATGATTCAACAATATTAAGCATGCGTGGGCTTATTTATAATTTTATGAACAAATATGAAGAATCGCTTGCTGATATATTATCTTCATTAAAAATTCTGAAGCCAAGTTGTAAAATGGCAGACAGTTGTGATGAAGCAATTTCTGAGTTAGGTAAGATATTAGGAATTGAACTAATCAATAAATCCGCATCAAAGCATAATAAAATTGCTTGTGATCTAAAAGCCGAGTATGAAGAATCGATTATAAATTTTATTGAAACAATGATGGACAAGGGCGAAGAAATATATAAAGATTTTATCAAAGAATCTTGGCAGAATAATTCATCGACGTCGATAGAAAATGAAAATACATATTATACAGAAAAATATGAAGAAATAATTGCAGATTTAATTAAAACATTAGAATTAGATATTGAATTTATCAAAGACTTAAATACAGAACAAAATGATGAATTCGAAATAGTGGCAGAAAATGAAATAGCATATAATGATATAGATGAATATGAAGAAATTAAAAATTTAAGCAAAATATTAGAAGTCGAGCAAAATAATGCATATGCACTAAGAAAAAGAGGGGTTGCTTATGGTAAAATAGGAAGATTTCAGGAAGCACTCACAGACTTAACAATATCATTAAAAATTGAGCCGGTTAATTCATGGGCATTGTCTGATCGTGGAATGATATATTGCCTTCTAAATAGAAATGAAGAAGCACTTGAAGATTTAAATAAATCTCTAGAAATTGTACCAGATAACATATTTGCACTGGGTTTACGTGGAATGATCTATAGCGATATGCATCAGTGTAAGGAATCAATTGCAAGTTTTAATAAAATATTAGAAATTGATCCAACTGATTCGTTTATATTATGCATGCGTGGAAAAACTTATTGCGATATGAAAAAGTATGAAGAGGCTATTATAGATTTAGACAGATCATTCGAAATTGAGCCAGATAATATATATACATTAGTTGAACGTGGAATAACTTATTACTATATGGGTAAATATAAAGAAGCAATTGCGAATTTAACCAAATCATTAGAAAATGAACCAAATGATGCATATATATTGAGATGGCGTGGAAAGAATTATCAAATAATGGGCGATTATGAAAGATCGTATATAGATTTCACAAAATCATTGGAAATTGAGCCAGATAATGCTCTTACTTTATGTGAACGCGCGACAACTTATCGAATGATGGGTAAATTTGAAGAAGCACTTTCGGATCTGACCAAGTCAAGTGAAATTGAACAAAATACATATATTTTAAGGCAACGTGGAGAAGTTTATCGATTAATAGGCAAGAATAAAGAGGCGCTTATGGATTTTGCCAAATCACAAGAAATTAAGCAAAATGATTGGTAATCAACTTATTTGCAATTCGATAATTGTTGTTATCGTCATATACTTAATATTCGATTTATTTTTTTTTAAAGCAATAGAAATGACGATAATAATATTCTAAACGTAGAAAAGCTAGAAAAATATCTTAATAACCTAGAACTAATGGAATTAAGCGATTATAAAACACCGGAACAAATATCTTATATATTCAAAAATAAATTCCTCAACGAAGTATCTCTTAAAGAAAATGAGAAGGCATATTTGATCAAAAGAACTCAACAAAGTCTAGATGCAATCAATATTATAACTAAAAAGAATAAAAAAAGAAAGTGTGAAAGTTGCCAAAATTATGTATTTGCTTTTCAATATTGTGAAAACTGTATTTGTTATTATTTGCAGCAGAGTTATAGTAATTGGACTTCTGGGAATAAGGAAATTGATGATGCAATTCAAAATGCTCAAAAGAATACATCACGACCAGATCATGTTATTGAGTGGGTTCCTTTCGAGGATTTCGAAATGGTGCAATATCTAAACAAAGGTGGATACGCTTCTATATACAAAGCAGAATGGAGAAAAGGTCGATATGATAAATGGAATGCTCAATTAAAAATTTTAGAACGATGTGGTATGCATGAGATCATTCTAAAAATGTTAACAAATTCTTGTAAAAAGAACAGCGGATGGTTAAATGAAGTAAATTTTCATTTTTGAAATTTGAAATTTGAATATCTATATTGCTTATTAAGTAATTACAATTTTTTTTCAATTATCAACAGATTATTACTCATTTCATTTATAAAGATATAAGACAACTTTTACCTTGTTATGGTTTAACAAAAAATCAAAATACGGGAGATTTCATGTTAATCCTAGAAAGAATGGAGTATAATCTAAGAGAATATTTATTTATTAATTCTCGTAAACTTACTTGGACACAAAGGTGGCATATTATTCATGAAATAGCGGTTTTCTTATATGAAATTCATGAAAGATGCTTAGTTCACAGAGATTTACATTCTGGTAATATCTTATTAGATGGCTTTCGCGTATTTGTTAGTGATTTTGGATTTTATGGTCCTGTTGAAAAACCTTCAAACAGCATTTATGGCAACCTTCCTTACATTGCACCTGAAGTATTATGCGGAAAGCCATACACATCAAAATCGGATATTTATAGTTTAGGAATGCTTATGTGGGAAGTAGCAGTAGGAAAACCACCTTTTAGTGGCCATGAAAATGATGCTGAGTTAGCATTAGGTATTATTAGGGGAAAAAGACCACATGTTGATGATAGTATACCATATGAATATGCAACATTGATAAGACAGTGTTGGCATGATTTTCCAGATAGCCGGCCGAATGCTTTGTATATCTATAAAAAAATCAGTAGCCTTTATAAAGAATTTATTGGAACAGAAAATAACAATATATTAGGAGAAACCTTTATGTGTAACGGAAATTTATCAAATTTTACCGAAAATTTAACTATGAAATCCAGCAAACTTTATGATCTATCTGATCTATCTGCATTAATAATGTAACAGAGTCTCTGTTCATTTCACAAGTAGTATTATATTATATTTGTATATTGCACAGTTGCGAAAAATCAGATGTAAAAAAAAATTCTTTTTTTTTGAATAAACAAGTTTTTTCTTATTATTCACATAATTGCATTGTAGGAAATACAGAATCTAGAGATGTGATTCGCTCAATTGAGGATGAATATTCGTTCAATCCTAATCTGTACGGATTGATCTACGATTCGCATATTCTGAACGGATGATTAGCAATCCGCATATTTCGAACGGATTGAGTGGATTAAACATATTAAAAAGATTGAACGGATTGAACGGATGATAAACAATTTGCATACGGATTGAACGGATTACACAAAAAAGATACGGATAATACGGATTGCACAAGAATACGGATTTTGAACGGATATACGGATTGCAGATCAACGGATCACACCTCTACATATCGTAAATTGGTACAATTTGTTATCATACTATATCAGATATCAACAAATCATTGGATACACAGCCATCCCCAAATTTGGTAATGTTTTGATCACACTCGTAAGTACTTTAGACCTATAAAAGTACCACTGTTTTGATCACTCCAAAAGGACTAAAAATTTAGCACCTATAGAAGTATTTCAACATGTCTGCTAAATATAATTTGAGAAAAACTAATTTC